GCCTGAAGAGGAGACCACGACGCCTACGGCGCGGGGCCCTCGAGCAGAACAGACTTCAGGAGAAACTGATGCCGGAGCTGGTGACATCGAAATTGAGGAGGAAGAAGAGGACATGGGGGGCCAACCTTCGGAAGCGAAGAAGCGCCGAACTGAGGTGCGGAACATCCGTGAGCAATTTGAGAAGCTGATTGCCGACGCATCAAGTGTTCAATATTGTTTCATTTGTGGTGGAATGCATGACATTGATGAATGTACCACACCAGATGACGAGAACATGAAGGACACCCTATGGCGCATGAGATTGATCATGGACCAGAAGTCCAAGTCCCCATCGTCTTCGGAAAGATCCAAAGCTGCGACAAGAGGCAGAAAAGACAAGCTCCCGAAGAACGTCATGCCACGAGGAAAACGTTGGGGAAGAACCAGATTCACTGAGAAAGAAGAAGTGACCAAATGCTTCTACAGTCAGTCAGCCTTTATGTACGACATTGGTGATCGTGAAGAAGGAGGACAGTACTTAGTGAATGGCGTCGAAGTCAACCCAATTAGCCGAGGTGTGAAGAATCGTCACGAGCTTGATGTGCTGATTGAACGTGCGGCTGAGGAATCCCCGCCTGTTTTGCCGACCATTGAGGAGCTGAACGCTTGGAACCCCATTGATCATGATGCATATGTGAAATGGCTTACTGAAGAAAGAAAACAGTATGGAGACAACTGGAATTTCAAGTACATCCAACCATTTACACATGGCCACAATATCGGCACACTGCAACTTGCTCGCATCAATGGAGAAGAATATCTTGGATATGGATGGAGTAATGTGCATCGATATGGCGAGAATGAGTGGATGGGCAACAAGTGGGAAAATCCGCAATGGATAGTCGAATTGTCGAAAAGATTCAATGCAGCGCTACGCCACTCCGTGGGTTGCGTCAAGGACAATCGAAATCACCGTGGACTACCATGCGATGAAGCAGGTTGGGTCAATGTCGAGTCGATCTTGAAGTACGACAACATTTGGAGAGATCAACATACATTGGCTGGAACGACCCACGTCAACTACCCAATACTTGTTGAGAGGTGGAACAATTTCCAGAGAGTGATCTTCACTGAGTACAAGCAAACGAAAAGGATCCGAGCCCAAGTGCTAGGACTCAAGGTCACAAAAGGTGAGCTGGAATACGTCATGAACAACTTCAATGATGGATTGACCTCGAGACTTGAACGACACACACTGAGGTTGGAGATCGGCACAGCAGAACGAGAGATTTGGCTATGGCCGGTGGCAATCCGTGCCCCTATGGCACATTCAAGAGTTCAAGGCGGTGTGCACATCGAAGACAAGAAGACTTCCTATCAGATGAACCCTGGAGTCGGATACACTCTTGGAGGAGGATTTCACTGCACCACTTTTGACAACATCGCTCAAATCTTCAGAGAAGGACTACGTCCCGGAGGAGGAGGCGACCGCATCAATACGTTCTTCGTGCCATTCGCACCGTGGGACGTGCGAAGTCAGACGGTGCTGAGGTTCAGAAAGATTGAACAAACTGATCTTGTCTACATCTACATCACGTACGATTCCATCGCCAAGTTCTCCCCTCGATTGTCAGCAGACGGACACATTTTGGTCCAAGAAACAATTCCATTCGAATCATTCGATGCAGTTTGGTACTATGATTGGAAGGAAAAGGACTACTACCGTCTCATGATCACAAAGGGAAAAGATCAACTTGTACTTTCTGTGCAAGGAGCAAGGAGGGTGGCCACCATTGAACGATTTGACAAACTCATTGGGAACATTGTGCCTGATGAATCATCACCCGATCTGAACGAACTTCGAAAGCTTGTCGATATCAAGACCGGTCACTTCAGTCATGCTCACAGATTGTTCCCTGGACATCCGGATTGGAATGATGCAATATCATTGTTAGCAGTCACTCATCATCCTAGCAAGGAGGACCATCGACTATGCCCCGCATGTCTGATGGAGACCCCTGCACCATTATCGATTTGTGTGATGTGCAAAGGATTTTTGGTAAGTCATGGATGGAGGAAGCGAATCAAGATCACCGTGGCTACTGTACCAAGTGCCGAATCACGTCCTCGAGAAGAAGATCTCAAAGACCATGTCAAGAAAGCATGGGAAGAAGTGAAGATCGATTTGACAGGTGAAGATGGTGACGACGAGCTGATGCAAGATGATGATGACGTCACCATGAAGAGTCCAGAACAAGAACCTCAACCAGAAGAAGAAAATGATGATCAAGCCTCGAAGAAGGGCGACATCAATGATGAGAGAAGAGACTTCAGAGAACAAGATGAGGTCGATAAATTTCTCAATGAGGAAGGAAAACAAACTGATGAGAACGACGATGAAGAAATAGAGGTCGATGAAATCAACATCGAGGAGTACGAGGCTGGAGAAGCTCATGATGCAGTAATTGAGTACCCCAAGTGGCTGAAGAGGATTGAGTTTGGATCAAAAGTCCTACCAATCGAGCCTTGTACAATTGGAGATGCTCAGCCGGAGCTCATCAAAATCCTCCTGTTACAGATTGGGTTGCATATCGTCAGGATCTACAGACTATTCCAACGGAACTTCTGTGGAGACATTGAGACGGCATGGAAACACTTTCAACAGAACCAGAAATTCAGGATGGACTTGGATTCAAGAGTGCCATACCTAGGTGAGGATGAAAATGGTGAACTCATAGAACCAACTGCACAGCAGATGAAAGAGCTCTACCAAGAAATCGGCCGACCTCAACAAAAGGACGACATCGGGGAAGAGGGATTCGTCAATGCATACTATGGGGCGGTGGTACTCAAACGACTTCTCGTATATACCCTTGAATGCGGTTATACATATGAAGACTTGCAAAATATCTTCTTCGATGAAGAGATGGAGAAACTGTCGAAACATGACTCAACAAGGGATGAGATGAGAAAGACCACAGCCGCCCGCGAAGCCCTTGACCGACAAGATGTCCTGGTCAGAAGAATCATTGCAGGTGCATGCAGAGTGAATGCTGTTTATTTCTTCAGGAACGTCGACTTTCAAGACACAATCACACTGAACCCAGTTGACATTGTGTGTGCTCTTCGACCTCCACTTCGAAGAATTTCAGTTTTGCACCTGATCCTTCAAAATGGCCGACAATTGCCGCGACCTCTACTCCAGAGGCTGTATGATGCGATCAATGACTACAACCACATCAAGCAGCGGGATGATCAACGACCAAGATGGGGCATCCACATGACAGAAGCCCACTTACTTGCGATTGCTGATACCCCGGTTCCTGCTGATCGTGAACGTACTAACCCGGCTGCTGGCAAGTCGAAAGCAGCCCCGAAAGCAGCACCAGCACTGGGCAGAGTGTCAAAAGCGAAAGCATCAGCATCAGCAACATGGAGAACTGTCGAAGCCGCTCCTCCGCCAAAACAAGCTCCAGTAACCCCGCCACAGAAAGGTGGAAAAGACCAAGGGAAAGGTGGAAGATCTTATTCACACCGTGGTGGCGACTGGAACCAACATGGATACTATGGATGGGGATATAGATGATAAATCGATATGACCTCTGCATAGGTCCTGATTGAACCTGGCGAAGCGAGGCAGCAATCATTGCTCGAGATTTACCTCTACTTCATTTTGAATGATTTCTGAGAGGACTCTGAGCCGGCTAATTTAGAACCACATTTTTTTTGAACATCATTGCACGAGACGCTGAGTTTCTACAGCGGTCTACATCTCAACCGACGAAGGAACGGGAAGGTAAACTTCTAGTTCCATAGTCATCTTTGTGTTTCGATTTTTAATTCGCATGCTTGAGTGGGATTCCATGCTGGCTACGCCACATCGGATGAACCTCAATGCTGTACACCGACTACGTCGTGTCAGCATGCACGTGAACAGAACCTTTTTTTTTGGTAGAGATCGTAGCAAGCCGCCATGTAGATTTGAAGTTCTGAACGGACTTTAGCTCTCCATAATTCAATAAATGAACAGCAGCAGACGTATTGAAGTGGTTTAAGGGACACTCCTTTGCGCGTGGCCAACAAAGTTGGCCATGCGTGGGGGGTGCGAATGGGATGTAGGCTACGGCATGCAACACACTCCCATGTAAAATAGCCCTTAATCATTCACAGCCAAAGGTTGCATGTATGTGCCCCTTTGGCTCAAGACGCTGCTAGTTCCGCAGAAAAGGAAGCAATGCCGAAACCGCTGTTCGTTCGTCATCACTGGTGAGGGAAATCAACAACCTTCTATAACTGCCAAGAACATATAATCGGGGAGATAACTTCCGATTCACATATATATTTATTTATTTATTTATTTATTTATTTATTTATGTATATATAACTATGTATATATATGTATATATAACTATGTATATATATACATATCTGTGTGTGTGTGTGCATATGTTTATGTCTGTGTATTAATATATATATATATGTGTGTGTGTCCGTACACAGTGTATGTAAATATGTACAAACAAGTATTAGTCACACTTACAACATGAAAGTCACCTGGGATCAGAATTGGGCGGTCTAAGTGGGGATTATAACAGCCAACGACAGAAGATGCTTTCTAGTAGATAGACTATGCCTCCTCTAAACCTATACAAATGAAGCTAGAAATCTAAGAAAGGAACAATGAAAATTTGTGAGATATATTTTCGAGATGGCCATTCTCAGGGATCCATCACCGCGCATGTTGGACTTCCATCTGAGTCGGGAACCACTTGACTGGCTACAATATATATATAATATGTGGTATATTGTGAATATATATATATATTATCAATATATATATATATAATATGATTATTATTAATAGATATTAATGTGTATATATATATATATCTAATTACACATATTATCCACGTCATTCCATGTTCTCCATTTTTTTCTGGCACCCAGTATGTTTCAAACTGATCAACCATTCAATTTATGATCACCAAAGACATGGAGCTTAACTTGACCGAGCGCCCAGCCTGCAGTTGCCGGGCAAAGTGAATTCAGTGAGTTCCTCGCCCAACGCAGCAATGCACTCGGCGCTTAATGCCGGAAGCTTCCCGGAAGCAATTGGAAAAGTGTAGAGCTCCCCACCGTCTCGGTCTGTACCTGGGTGTTTTTTCAGAAAGTGGAATGAAGTGGAATGAAAATTAATGAAAATTGAACATCAAGAATCAACCAATAAATAAAATAGTGTTGGATTCTCGGGCAGAAAGATTGAAAATCCTCCTGGATTATAGGCCCCTTTTTTTCTTCACAGCAGCACCTCGATCAGGGATATACTTCAAGCTGGGCTACGGCATCTGGAAAAACCATCATGTGGTCCCAAAATTAAGCTGGCTACAAAATCCTTTGGTGTATCATCAATTTTCTCCTAGAAGTTCTCATTCTCTTAAATCTGCCCTGGTTCCATCATCCAATTTCCTTGGTTACCCCCTGGTAAACTAACATAACTGTTATTTAACTATTGAAAATCGCCATTTATAGCTGATTTACCCCTTTAAAATGGTGATTTTCCAGTTCGTTATGTTAGCTTACCAGGCCGGGTATCCTTGCTTAAAACCCCCATGGGTTTTTTCTCCCTGGCCTGTCATGCTGGTCTCATCGAATCGGGGTCCGTGGATCGCCTCGCCCCCCGTCACCAACGGTCTCAGATGACCCGCGGAGGCCCATGCGGCCAAGCTCCGAAACAAGCGGATGTTGACGTCGCCTGGTGGTCACGCAGAATGTGGATACTGAGTACAACAAGGTGCTCCCTAGGAAAAAAGTTGGTGATTGATCATAGAGATATCTGCAGTACCACAAATCCTGGTTATATTAACTAACTCAACTAATAAAGTTGGTTGATAAGTCCCAGAAACTATAGATATATCTACCATAAATCCTAGTGATATTGGCTATTCACAACCCCAAAATGGAAATGTCCTCTATTGGAAACTCCTGAAATGTAGTTTTCAACAAGTCTGACTTGCATGAAAACGAAAAATGTTCGTTGCCAGGTGTGGTATCTGATGCCAACAAAAATTATCTCATGGTTTACCATCACTGCCCCATGATGCCCCGTGTAAAATTGCCAGAACTTTGGTTTTTCCCCGTGTTGAGACAAACCCAAATACAGAAAAAAATCACAATATAATTTCCATTCATTGCCAGCGAAATCACCATCTGTGTTGGGAATCCTCAAAATGCCCATATTATGTCCTATTCTATCCCATGATGTCCGCATGATATCCCCATATCCACATCAAATCCACATCAAATCCCGCAAAATCCGTGAAAGCCGCATAAAATCCCAGAAAATCTCCATGAAATCTCAAGAAGTCCCCATTAAAAAAGGTGAATATGTCCCCTCCCCGGTCACCTGCATTCACCTCCAAGTTGGGCGAGATCACCACGAAGCGGCCCTCGCCCAGCTCGCCCAGCTGGACGGCGGGAAGACCCAGAAGACTGGTGGCAGACTGACCTGTGGCGACCATCGGGATGGAAGATGTACAGATTGTCTAATGATATATATATATATACATATGTATATATATAGTGTATATATATACTGTATATGTTTATATATATATGCTGTATATGTATATATACTGTGTATATGTATATATATCTGTATATATATATATATACATATATATATACATATATATATATACATATATATATATACATATATATATACATATATATATACATATATATATATACATATATATACATATATATATATACATATATATATATACACATATATATATATATATACATACATATATATATACACATGTATGATTATATATACACATGTATGATTATATATGTACTGTACACATCGTATGAAGCAGACGCTGCCAAAAAGGCTGCGGTGACCATACGTATACCCAGATGTCCATGTTATCCCGTGGTCGTGGTAATCAAGCATGACTGGTTGGAAAGTTATCGGGTCACATCAACCAGCAGAGACTGGGGATTTCAAGCAGCACCAGTTTTTTCCACGGTTGGTGATTTCACGGACCAAAATGTTGCAGTACCAGAAATAGGGATGCAACTATTCAACCAACAAAGTTTGGGTTTAAGCAACCAAAAATGAGATTCGACCACCAAGAATGGTATAGAACCAGGAGAAAATGAGTGGTTGACCCCTGTCCGGTAACAAAGCTAAGAATGGAAATCCCACAATTTTGAGCTGGTTGGTGCACCTTATGGGAAAAACATGGAAAAACATTATCACTATCTATACATATCTATACGATTTCTGATGTTCAATTCTTGTGGTGATCTAAAATCACCAAAAACGATTAGGATCCAAGGGGAGAAAAAAGCATCCACAACAGATGCTAGACTTAAACAAATAACAAAAGCACCTTTTCAAGGTCCATTTCGCCCAGTGGCAGTCATTCATCTCCGTCTCATAGGTCAAAATGGGTAGACCTGTGGGGCGGATGCTGGCATCATATTCATGTTTAATATATATATATATGTATAATTATATCTATATATAATTAATTATATTATATATATGTATATATAATTATATGTATATATGTTTGAGATATACTGTAAATAGTGTTGAAACATGTTTTTGGCCCTTCTACATAGGTTTCAGCTGAGCCAGCGTCGTGTCGACTCCACTGCGCCTGGAAGAGTGGTGCCGAAGGCTGCCAGGTGCTCTTCGGCTACGGGGAGCAGCGCAGGGCAATTGAAGTACTTCGATTCCACCTGAGTCGCAGGGACAGGGACTTCATCTCACTCTCATATACTATGTATAATTTGTAAGGGAAAAAATGATGGAGGAAAGCCTTATGTATATATATATATTATATATATATATGTGTGTGACGGTGATTTCACCCTGGTTTCCTGATCTACAGTATCTCTTTTGGGACTGAAAAGGATGAGAAGTCGATCTGTGTTTTTTTCCCTCCATATTTGTGTTGACGGGATGTCGGGATGTCACAAATTCCGGAAGAGTCTTTCCAAATGGTCAGGGTTACCCAACTCCAGTGGATATCAACAGACGTTTCAAAGATGTCTCAACCATGTTCTCAGTCCCCGATATGGGAAAATGTGGGAAATCCTTCATGAATCATGAATCCAAAGCCTGGCCATGTTCGAAGCTTTCCCAACTTCGCTCATCTTCGCATGGCCAAGCCATGCTTGATTCACCCTACCGTTCACCCTACCGTTCGCCAGCTTGGTGGCGAACCTGGAGGTGGATCAAAGCTCGTAAAGCTGATGGCTCCCCAAAATAAAGTTTCCCTTAGATCAACATAATGAAGTTGATCAAATCGTCGCTGGTGAAGTCCAATGCTACATATATATATATATACTGTATGTATATATATATATATGTATATAAATTTATATATATAATATATATATATATATTATACAAGTCCCTTCTTGGTTCAATCCCCGTGTCACCATGTTTGTGGCCTTTTCCATCACCAGTGTTCTTGCTCTAACTGACACCACATCCCTTAAACTCAAAAAATGCCCCTGCTTGCATGATCCTCCAACTGTCAGGTCCCCCATTGTTCTGCACCTTTGAGAAATCCCCAAGAACTAAACATAATCAAAGTACAATCAGTTCTAATCAATGGTGTGTTTCATTTCATCAATGAATGGTATATATATATATACATTACTCCATGAACAGCATAGTTCAATTCATCCCCAGTTTATATCAAGAAACCAAACCGACCAATTTTTCATCCGATTTCATACCCTAAAAGGCCCAGGGCAACCTCCTTGATCTTCGGCAGCAGCTGTTCCCCATAGGGCGTCGGTTTCAGCACCACGCTGCCAGTGCCGCGTTGCCAGTGCTGCCGGTCGTGCGCCAGGATTGGCAAGAGACCCAGACTTCCTCGGTGGACCAAGGTGGACAGCAGAAAAACCAACGAAACTCTAGGTGAAAATATGTTTTTCTGCGGCTATACGTGATATCTGTTTGATGTTGGTAAATTTTCTAGATGTTGCCCTTGAATAGTGGTTCAGTGGCAAACTGCGCATTTCCTGCGCTGCAATACAAAGATTGCAAAAATCCATAAATAGTGTTGACAATTCACTAAGCAACCAGCCAGAGGTGAAACCCAAACAGAGCAACTTCCTGGCGTTTTTTGATGCCAAGTTCTATCTTAATGATACAAGCTCCACAGTTCCATGGTTGCTGATCGGCAAAAGGATCCCAGATTTGGATCTGCCGGTTGAGCTCAGTAGAAGGATCCAAGATCGGGTTGAAGGGGAAATTTGCAGGAAACCGCAACCCCCACTTGTATGTGCGGGTCCTGTGGATTTTCCCAAAGGATTTTACTGATTCAAATATGTACAGTATGCGTTTTCTCTTGTGACTCCAGGGCCACCCAACCCCACCAGAACTAACCAGTGATCCTGTAAGCCAGCTGCATATAAGAACTCCAGACCAAGCATCCCTTGTTGCAGCCACAAAAAGTGCCACCAGCCGAGATGGTCATGATGGCGCCACCTCACTTACAAAAAAAAGGGTTTGGTTTTGAACTGAGACGACCTTGGTTTGGTGGTTGAGCTACCCATCTCAAAACTATGAGCCAATTAGGGATCATGACCCCAGGTAAATGTTCAAACCACAAACCAGATTTTTTGAGTGGAAAACTCGATCTGCACAAAAGTTCAGGGTTGGAATGTTTTGCAGGGTCATCAGTGTCCAGCTAGCCAGTGTGCTCGGGGCAAAGCTTGGATCTGATAAAGTCTGGGTGAGGAAGGAAAGCAAACACTTTGAACCTTGGTGGCGTGGGGGTCAGCCCACTGTTGCTTGAGAATAACAAAGGCAAAAGGATTGGCTATACAATCTACGCATCCTTTAAGGGGGGAGGGGGGAGGGTGGGGGGTAAGCACTGAAATACTTCAAATTTGGGCGGGTTACCGGGTTACCCCCCACACATAGAAATATTTCAGCTAGAAATTTCTTATTTGTATACGGTAGAATAAGGCAATGGAAAATCTTAGTGCTGTCAGTTATGCATCAACGGGCACCTGTGGATGTGGTCAGGTACGTGCAAACCGGCTGAAGCGCGCATTTTCATGTGTTTTTCTCTCCCCAAGCTTTGCTTATAAAATGTTTGAGGGGGGGAGGTGCAAAACCATGGTATTTTACAGCTCTAGAAGCCACCCCCCCAGAAATTCCATTGCAGCAGTAGGATTCCGTTTCTGAGTATCTTCAAAGACCAGGGGCGGGAGTTCGCAGAGGTCATGCGCGGTTTGCTTTTTGATCTATGTGTATCCAATTGACATAGCTAGGCTCAAGTCTGGCATCCGGAGGACCCCCCCACCTCTTTTTGAAACCCAAAAAACACGTGGGGGGGATATTTCACGTGGTCAGGCGAAATATTTCTCAGAAATTTCTTGCCTTACCCCCCCCCAACAAATATTCCAGGGTGGGGATCTCTACGCAATGTCTACCAGGACTTTCTGGTTTTGGTGGATGATGGTGGATCGTTCGCATGCTGAAATTCCCGGCCAATGTTCTGCATTAGCCATACTCGTACTCTGTGATCCGAAACATGGGTGCTACTTTCAACAGGTACCCCTTGCATTGCCTAAAGATTTGCTGTACCAAATGAATCAAGTCTTCCGTTGGGTCTGGGTAATTTGCCCAACTTCCACACACAGGGGTTACTCCCAAAAATACGGCCGAATTCTTACGGCAAATCTGTATGCACCACGAGAAGCGCCACACCCCCTGTTGTTTGGAGTAGGTCTTGACCCATTGAATGGAGGATTCACCCTCAAAAAAACAAGATCCCCATCGAGTTCGAGGCATCCCTGCCTCTTCGCAAGTGTTCTGCCAGCTTCTCTTTCTCGCTGTCCCCAATGTAGTTCTTATGCTCGCCGCCCCCATGGATGAGTACGACGCACTTCCCTAGCAGGGCATCGTCACAGAAGTCGGCCACTGTCATGAACTTCCCGCGGGGGAAGATCTTGAAGAAACTGGACTTGATGCCTACCAGGTCAGGGCAAGGATTCTGGGAGGCGGTTGAGGTCACCAACTTGTCTTCTTTAGATCATCCCAGGACTCAGACGAGGTCGTTCCATAGTGATCGCGAGTCCGAGTATCGTATGCAACATCCTTCAACAACTCACAGACTCCACGGTTTCCCATACTTTTTTACAGCATCACTTTCCCATCATATGCTCCATCCATGGTATGTTTACCAACATTTAGTTTATTCTCGTGAATGGACAAAATGAAGCATCATCCCCAAACCTTTGAATGTTGAAATTCAGCACAGAAATCTTTGGGAAATAATTACAATGATATTACAATGGCCAGTTTGGGAGCTTTCCTGAGGTTTCCCATTTCTGGCACCTTTCATCCCTTTGCCCACATCCAACACCACCACCGGCGCATGGCATTGCCCCGACTCGCCGTACGGCCACGGCGGGGCCGAAGCCCAGCGTAGCTGGTCGTCAAGTCCCACCGTGGCCAGGCACCGAGGGGGATCAACGGTCTGGGCGAAAACATCAACGATTCGGGGATGATCCATGGAGTTTTTGTTGGATGATCTATATCTATATCTATATCTGTAGATATATAGATAGATAGATAGATAGATATATATATATATACATATGTAAAGATATATAGAGATACAGAGATATAGAGATATTATATAGATATACACAGATGATCCATGATGATCCATGGTATGGGATGATCCATTAGGATTTTTTTTGGGGGGTGATTCAAAGACCTTTGGGAGAATCCCATGCGGATCTTTTTTGGGGGGGTTAATCAAAGATCTTTGGGATGCTATGGAAATTGATATAAGGTCCACGAGCTGGACTCACATGGAAACTGATGGTCCCAGAGCTAGTAATTCATAGTTTGCATCCTGTCTTAGAAACGAATGTATAGACCATTTACATCCGTTTACAGACCCATTTAACTAGACTAGATACTGATATGTCATCATATATCATCATTAAACTAAAAGTCAAACTAGATATAGTTTGGGGTCTACCACCATCATATATATATATATATTAAACTGATATATCACCATCATCATATAAACCAACTTAGTTTACTACGTCACCACTTTGTAGCTGATCGAGCCTTTGCCGGCGCCGCGTCTGCGTCCGAGACTTCCGCAGCGTGTCCGTTTCCGCCCAAAGAGGGAGTCACGGCACGGGACCCGGCGCAGCCCATCAGGAAAGGTGCAACATGTGGAGAATTGATCATAAATATTCAGTAAATATCAATGGAGATATTTTTATTGAATATTCAATATATTTATTGAATATTTATGATCAATTCTCCACATAGATATTTTTGATCATAAATATTCAATAAATCATGGATATTCACCAATATCCATGAATATTCCACTGGTATTTACACATCCATATCATAGAAATATTCATAAATCATGGGCCAGTGGATGCTAGTCATGCTTGGTGGGTCCAGAAATTTGAGAATGTCAACCCTGGCTCAATAAACCTTGGTTGATGAATTAGAGGGGTTCCCCCAAATACTCATAATCTGCTATTCAAATGGTGCCGCGAAATCAAACATCAGAGTGGGTTCTGAACTGATAAATTAAAAGGATGATTTGTCATGAATAATGGAAATCAAAATGAAAAACGGTTTCTTGATCTGGTTTCATTATGTGAAATTGCAATTCATGCTGGTTAAGAGACCATTCTTGTCGGTTGGTATTCCATTTGTTGATGGTCTTCCCCTGCTTCAGCACCAATTGACAATTTGACCAACCATCTGGATATGTTCAATCGTTCAATCTCAAAGCGGATGTATTCAAGGACATCCAAAGTGATTTGGCATCATCTTGTTCAGTCGGCACAGGGTTGTCAAATCACCGAGTCACTGCTGACATAAGAGCCGTCAAGAACCTGCGGAAAGACAAGTGGATTCGACTTTACAATCTTTAAAACCTGAAATTGAAATTGCTTGCAGATTTGGATACATGCATACCTGCGACCCCCCCGGCAAAGTCACTTCACTGTTTTTAAATCCTGCTGAAACTTCTTAAATCTCTTGAAGCCCCTAATGATGTCCCCAACTGACCTCCACCTTTTTCACATCGCTTCTGCTTGCCTTCCTGGCCTCATTTTGGCACAGCCAGGTGGCTTTTTTGGGCGTTGATCCGCTGGGTCAGGTGGCTATGTTCAACTTTTCGGGGCGAATCAATCGGTGGTTTCGGAAGTCACCCATTTTTGCTGGTGAAACTCCCATGCTTCTTAGATGTATCACTATAATCACTCTTTTTGTGAGTTGAATCGTTCCGTTTGCTGAGATCCACTGTTTTTCAGCAGTAAATCACAAGTTGTTCTTCTGGACCACCAACAGCCGTCGATTTTGGGGGTGCCCTCTTGGACACAGCCATCTGATGGCGCTGTGGCCACGTCATAAAGAAATTCGCGACGCCCAGAGAGCGGAGATTCACTGTGCACGCGCGCAATCAAAGGCAGTATTCGGCCAGTCATGCCGTGCGATTCATGATTGGTCGGCCGGTCGCTAGCAAATGCTCAGCTTGGTGATAGTTTCATATGGTTCATCCTGTTTGTTGCTGGATAAGCCTAATTACCCATGTTTGTTGCTGGTCAAATCAATGACATAAAATTATGAATCACTTTCGACGGCTTAACATGTCGCCCCTGTAAACTGATACCTGGGCAATGCACCATCATATACGTATTGTGTCTTTGCTTGAAAATCCATGGTGAAATGATAATATATGATAATCACATGTTGTATTCATTAAATAATGGTGTTCCCTCCAATAACTATGGCGAAAACATGTTTTTGGCTTGTTTTGATGTTTATTGATTCGTGAAAATGTGCTTAAATCATCTTAAATCCTGATCCCAGCATATCCCAGCCACGTAAACCGCTGCGAGTTATTTCTTCAGCAGCTCTGCACAAAGCAAGGCGGCACTTGATTTTGCAGCTGGTGGTTCAGGCGCTTCGGCTGTGAGATAAAGCCCACCGCCAGCTCCAAACCTCGCTTATACGGGGTATCTGGCAGTTTTTTGGGGGGTCTGCCCTCTGGTAAACTAACATAGCTATGGAAAATCACCATTTTTCATGGGAAAATCCACTATTAATGGCCATTTTCAATAGCTATTTTGACATAACCAGAGGGTATGTCATGGTTTTGGCTTTCGGCCGCCAGCATCACCCGCAAAAAACCTTTTTGTGACCTCAGTAACCTCAGTGCCCGGCAGGACTGGATTTGCACATCCTCTTTGTGGACCTAGAGCGTCAGCAATGGGGGGTCATAATTGGGTCAAGTTACATGGCGGTTTTACATGGGTTATAGTCATCCATCCCATACTGGGAATCCAAACATCATGGGCATGTGAATCCCTGTGAAAATGGATTGATGACCCAAACCCCAAATATGGACAATCTGCCAAAGTTTTGACCATTGCATATTTGGGTTTTTATAAAAATGGGCTATACCTCAACGTAAGGTAGCCTAGTTCTAAATCAATTGGTAGGGGGGACATCGATGGTGATATGGGAATGGTTCAAAAGGGTTTACCCCAAAACACGTTAACATTTAGAACTGTGCAGAGTTGTTCGTGAAAGTTGTGACAGATCGTTGAGAGATGTATATTGAGCTTCCCAGGCCGGTGTCAATTGCAAGTGGTCGCGAGTCCCTTCCTGGGGTGGCTATGACTGAAGAAATCATGGCATATCATGGCTACAAACAGCTGTTCCCATTGGAGTTTTTTGGTTTATCCCACATGGGTTTTTTGCCCCATCCAAGAATTGCTGGCTAAATCTCCATTTTGATAGTCCCCAAAAACCACCAGTTACCATCCTTAAAAAGAATCGACCAATACTATGTGTAATCCCATCCCCCATTCATATTGGGTTTATCACATTAAATCCCAAGAAACCATTGTATTAACCATTATGATCCCATGAAACATCATGAAAAAACCCATTAAACCACTGTTACAGCCATAAAAAAAGGGGCTCTCCACATACTACAAGCTCCACCTGTGCGACTTTTGTTAGTTCAGCATGCACTCGGCCACGGAGCAACTCCTGAGGCCATGGGATGCCATGGGTGGGTGACCTGGGAGAAAGTTAGCTTAAACGCATCATGGTTGAGCCAGTCATCCCAAATATGTGGATATTTAATCATATTATATATATATAATTACCCTCTGGTAATTTAACATAGCTATTGAAAATGGCCATTTACAGTGGATTTTCCCATTAAAACTGGTGATTTTCCATAGCTATGTTAGTTTACCAGAGGGTATATATATCCAAAAAATCCTAGCCAGTTAGGGGATCATGATCCCAGTTGCACATGGAAAATCAACAGTTGGAATTTCTTGGAACCACCAGCGAGACAAGTCTACACAGAGGTGTACGGTAGTCCTGCTGGGAGAAGTGATAAAGATTTGGGACATGTGTTGGACGGGTCGAAAATGAAGACATTGCTAAATACCAAAAGGATCCAAAAGGCCTAAGAGAAACTTGAAATCTGGGTCTGTCTGAAAATTGGGTGTGCCCCCAAATTGCCATGTTCACAGGGAAACTGATGATAAACCAGAAATAAACCATAAAATTTGTGAGTACCCCATTCTCAGATACACCCATTTGGTAGAGGTCAGAAAGATCCAGCATTTTCTTAAAAGATCCCCAGTTCCAAGCTTAACAAGAAAGACTGGCTGGTGGTATCAGCGATTTCCGAAAATTGGATCAGGATTCTCCTCCCAAACTCCAGGGCATGGGTCAAAATTGATTGCTAACAAAAAATGGCATGGTCAAGACCAAAAATGAGCATTTTTTATGCGAATCCCCGGGTCTTACATTTTGACCCAGGCCATGCAACTTTTCGATAGCCGCATGGTCTGCCTCCACCCCCCGGAGCCTCATTCATGGGTGCATTTCGTCGCACCAATTCAGCAACCTTTTTACAGGGGATGCATTATGATACAAGTAACTGGCATCTTTCATCAGCTACAAACAACTTTCAACACCATGCTGGCCAACTTTGAGCACAACCTTCCAACCTTGCTCAGCATCTGACCGTATCTGCACAGGCACGAACCAGGAAGGTCTTTGCTCCTGGCTCAACTAACAAAGTCCTTCCAACGCAAACATGGCGTAGACCTCTGATTTTGTTTAGAAATTACTCTGAAAACTCAGAAGTGAACTCCTCCACAAACCCACAGAACTTTGATGAAGTGCCAGCTGAGGTCAGGACCCCATCGTTGCAGACAGCTCACCAGGATCTCCTCTTGAGCCGGGGATCCATGACGATCCAGAAATATGTCAAAGCAGTCTGGATGTTAAAACAGCATGCTATGGCCTGTGCAAGTTGGTGTGATCTTGATCTGTCTAAATGTATACGTAGTTACCCGTACATAGTCATTGAATAGAATAGAGAGAGAGAGAGAGAGGCAGAGAGAGGCAGAGAGAGGCAGAGAGAGGCAGAGAGAGGCAGAGAGAGGCAGAGAGAGACAAATGTGCCATGTCTCCTCCGGTCCACTGACATAAGCCAAGGCCAGCAGGTTGTGCACCAGCACCTGTACGTCAGGGGGGAAAACGAGCATCAAAAACCAAGAGGATGAGCGATTCAACCAGCAGGCATCGGGATTTGACTACGAAACCCTAGCATGGAGGCTTAGTCAACAATCACGGACAAATGGATACACAAGCAACAGAATATGTTCAGAATGTGTTCAGTTTCACTGGCGAAAATTGGGATTTGACATGATTTGACGAACAAAAACAAACCAACAACCATGGAGTGGTCACCAAGAAGAACCACGAGGGTTGCAGGTGACTGAATGTGCAACACCAACATCTACCAATTCAGCCAGGCCATGCTGGTTGTCAAGCCGTGGAGGACATAGCCAGTGGCGGACAAAATCACCTTCTACTCGAAAAGGACATGGATAAAATGGCTGCTCTCCTATCCACTCCCTACGACTTGGGTCTTCCAATAATTTTGTCGCTTAATGTCGCTTACTCACATGTCCAATCCCGCCCAAAAAAAATGACTAAGCAATTTTCACCAACAACTCACTCACCTTGTGGTAGATCGACAGATTCTATGATTCTGGACAGCAAATAGATTCTGCCAACAAATCCTGAAGGTGTGATCTTGAATTCTATGCTCGAACTGCCATCGAACTACCCCGCACATTCGGAGAAAAATGGGTCAAATGCGAGCTGAAGAAAGGGATGGTCTCAGGCTAAGACCTATCTTGATCTATCTTGTTGGTGATAAAATCCATTGTGCTCTTGATAAAATCCATGTTGTTCTTCGTAACACAGATTGCTCTTCATCAAATCCAATGAAATCCATGTTGTTCTTGCGAAAATCCCTAATCTTGGGAGATGGTGATTTTAAAAACTTCCTGGTTTTTGGATGGATCACCATCACCATAAGCTCTCCCAAAACATCTCGGATTCTTGGCCTCGACCTGCTCAGCCTCCTTGTCTGGATCGTCCTGAGGGCAAAGATCTTACGGACTTATCAACCAGGTTTCGAAAAACCAAAAATACCATCTGGTTATGACTAACATAGCCATGGAAAATCACCATGCTATTAATAGGTACCCCATTTATAAGTGGGCCATTTTCCATGGCTATGTTAAATAACCACATGGTACCACTGCGAACAAATGGAGTACCAGGTCCATCTCTATTCTCTGCAATCATTCGAAGGTGTGATGGAAAATTCAGCGGCTCAACAGTGCCGAAAATTCTCCACCGAAGTCAGAACTCTGATCTTTGGCAAAGAAGCAAAGTGCTAGGCCGGCATGAAACTTGTTGAAACCGTTCCAAAATCTTCTGGTGCCGCTTCCCTGGTTTAGCTCCAGTTTGCAAAAACAACGTCTGAAAAACCAACTGCATCCGTGACAGAAATATTGGTTTCTCCAATGTTCTCCAGTTAAAAAGAAACTTCCTACAGAAGTCCAACTGGCAATCCCAGCCGCCGAAAATGAAATATCAATCCAGCTAATCTGACATTGGCTTTCCCCAAAGCTATCAAACCTCATTTCCGTCTACGCATCCAAGATACAGCAGTATCTCAAAAATTAGAACAAAAAAGATCCCCTAAGTATATCCCTGTTATACCAACCATGGTATTAAAATGTATTAAACCCATAATTTTCCCATTAAACCACAATTTTCGTTGATCCATCGAAATCTCCAGCGGTTTCTGTTTCGTATCGCCTCAGGGAAACGGTCCACTGCAGCTTCCATGGCCTGGGCCAAGGTCACCTGGCCGGGGGGTCAATCATATGACTGGGGTAAGCATCATGAACGATGGCTCTTTTAGGGTGCCTAGGGTACTAGGGTTTTGACTCATAGCATATTAGATATATATATATATATGTGAATTTCCCATGTCCCATTTCCATTTGCCAGGTACATTCTTGGATGTTGTGGCCTGCTGCCGCTCTTTGGGATCAATAGGCCTTGAGCCTTCACTGGCTTGGTCAAAACAGGAATTGCAGTGAAACCGCTTGGTTTAGGGTGTGTAGGAAGCCATAGCATCTTTCGTTGCTGTTTGTGCTACCTTGCATTCCGCATGGTAGCGGAGCCCTACGGGGCATCCAAGGGCGCCAATTGAATTTGGCGACGTGTGGCCATCCTGGCCATTGAGTGTGGCATCCTTCGGTGCCAATGGAGCGTGATTCTGGATTTTTCAGAGATTTAGTTTTTGATGGCCGTCCAGCAAACTACAGAGAATTCAGGAGAAAAACAATTCTTGCAGTAGCAGGCCTGGAGGAGAAACATGTTCACCTCGCAGGTCCACGTCTTTTGACCAGGTTGCAGGGTGAGGCTTATCGAGCCACTGAGCACCTTTCTGTGTCGGATTTGCGCCGTTCAGACGGCTGGCTGCAGGTCCTGAGGGCCTTGGATAAGCACTACGCTTTTCTGCCAGGGACCGAACTGCATGAAGCAATAGATAGCTTTTTGTTCGACCTTCGCAAACGACCTCATGAAGGTGCCACGCAGTTTGCAAGCCGTTTCAAGACTGCGTTGTCCCGTGTGCAAGCCTTGGTCGCCCAAGACCGTGCTGCTTCGAAGTCCAAGAAACGTAGAACTTCTGGTCCTGAATCCAATATGCCTGATGCTGAGACGCCGCCTGCCAGTAGCCTAGCACCTACCGAAGGTGAAGATGAAGATGATGAGAAAGATGATGAAAAGCCGCCTTCTGCATGTGCTGGTGAAAAAGATGAAAAAGATCAAGCTTCTCATGAAGAAGAACCGAAGTCAGCCCGTAGCCATGCCTCTGTAGATGAGGGCAGGAGAAAGAAAGGTCCCGGTTCTGGTAAAAGCTCTCGTGGAACTTTTGCTGCTGATCGTAAACGTGAAGAACTGAGAATGGCTCATTTGTTGGGCACAATTGAAGTTGGCCATACAAAGCCGTCTCCTATTTTTCCATCAACAGTTTTGGGTCATTTGTTCATGCGCAAGTATGGTCTTTCCCGTGAACAACGTGCACAAGTGATCCGTTCAACTGGTGGATCATCGAAATTTCATGAAGTGGAGAGGATTTTGAGAGCCTCTGATTTTGATGAATCTAGGAGCCGTGCTGATGAGCGACGACATGCCCCTGTGTCCCATTCTGCCAGACCGCCTCGCAGAGATACTATGATGATTCAGCAAGAAGCCCATGCCGTGGATGATGAATCTTCTGAAATCATGGAACCAATGACCAGTGGTTCCGAATCTGACCATGCACTAGCAGTTGATCAGCCTGATGAGATGCAACAGGATGATGATGACAATTCAACTGACCGTGAGCTGCAGGAAGTCTATGAGATCAAGGACAAGGCCAAGAAAGACTTCAAAAGATCCTTCAAGACATACAAAGAGAGTAGACGCAAAGTGAAAGAGATCAAAAAGTCCAGACAGCCTTACTACCCTGTGGTAGCCTTGAGTCAACCGCAAGACATGCCTAGCAAATCTGGTTCAAGTTCTACATCAATGGGTCAGATGCCACGGAAGGGTGACTTCAAGTATGACAAGACTAAAAGCTCTGTGAAAAGTTCAAATGCGAAACGCAAGCCAAACGAGTTCAGACCACGGAGAGAAGATGCAAATTTCACTGAAGCAGAAATCGCTGAAGCCTTTGCCTACATGGTGAACGAGGTCTTCGCTGGAACTGAGTCCTTAGACGTGCTGCTTGCGTCAATTCCTGATGGCTGTGCAGTGATCGATACTGGTTGCACGACCAGTGTGGTAGGTCAACAAACGGCTGAACGTTTTTCCAAATTGTTTCAAAGCCTGAACCTGCCGATTCCAAAGCCATGTGAATTGCCTGCAGTAGAGTTGAAGGGATTTAGTGGGGATAAGAGGGTGACCACCAAGGGATTGAAATGGCCTGTGAAAATTGGAAGTCTTTGGGGAACCATAACTACATATGTTGTTGAAGGTCCCACACCGTTTTTGCTTTCACGTCGTGTGCTTGAGGGGATGGAGGCAACCTTAGATATGGGGAATGGCACCATCACCAGCAAAAAGCACAACATGGTGAATTTCCCGCTGAAACGGGCTTCCAATGGTCATTTCCTCCTGCCGTTTTGTGAGATCCCGTCCGAGTTTCAGCTTGATGTTTCAAAGCGATCTGCTGATGTGAGTTTAGCTGATACTGGAGATATGCCCAGTGACCTATCCGAGCCGATGTCATCATCCGATGACGACAGCAGAGAAGCCGGCCGTGCTGACACCAATGAGCCCAATGACGCAGCCCCTGCAGCCGCTGAGCAGAGGCACGAACCGACTGAGGTTTCCACAGAAGTAGCCAAAACATGTGCACCAAAAAGAGGTGACAATGTAAGAAGTAGAAAACAGCTTTTGCAGCACATAGCCAAAAATACTCGTCAAGGGATTGTGAATGTTGAAAGATTCCGAAAGCAGTTGATAGGAATAGTAGGTGCCAGAGCAGCCGAATGCACCCATGCCTTCATAGCCTATAGACCTAGACTTGAACGCATTCCCCCTGATGCTTCAACCCAGTCTTATTTAAGCTGTAGGGTAACCCTATCCACTGAGGGAGATTTCGAAGTCCAACCATGGGTCACTCGCCCGCCAGGTAATGAGAGATCCAAAGTTGCCCAGACGAACATTGCTCTGCTCGTGCACATTCCCATTGAACGACCGCCAGTGCCAGTGCCAGCTGAAACAGCTAGTCACTGCCAGTGCTGCTGTGAACAAGTGGATCCATCCATGGAGATTCAACCACCACCATGTCCCCCAATAGAATCATTGTATGATGATGTTGATTGGGTAAACATGAGACCAACTGAAATAAAGGATGGATTTAGAAACGTGATAAAGGGGTTAGATCGGTTAGAAAGGTCAATAGCCAACTGGTTTTGTCCCGCATGCAAGCAGAACCTCAAAAGGTCCGAGAAGAACTAGAAGAATGGCTTGGCCCGCAAGCCCATGCACTGGACTCACCAGTTCAAATGATCGAGGTGTTTACCGATAGAGCTCCACTTGCCAAAAAGCTGCATAAACAAACCGGTAAATCATGCATTATCTTGGGCCTGAAACATGGCCAGGATTTCAACAAGTTGAGAGATCGCCGCATGTTGCTTTACTTGATTGCATGGTGTAGGCCGGAACACGTATGGTTTTCATTTCCTTGTGGATGTTGGGGTCCCTGGAGTAGATTCAATCTTGCAAAGGGTGGTCCCAGTGAAACCACAGTGTTGCAGCAGCGCAAAATTGCCAAAAGGCACCTGAGTGCCGTTTCTGAAGCGTGGCAGTTACAGCGTTTGTTTGGTGGTCACTGTCATGCGGAGAACCCATTGACTTCTGAAGCATGGTCACAGTTGCAATTGCTTGATTTCCATGAAGTCCGCATTGACATGTGCAGCCTTGGCATGCGATGTCCAAAGACAAACGTCCCTGTGCTTAAGCCCACGAAGATCGTCACCACGATGCCAGAACTTGCAGAACGACTGCTGAAGTGCCGTTGTGATCATTTGCACCAACATGCCCATCTTGAAGGTGCGTACAAGGGTCGCAACTTGTCCTCTTGGTGTGAAGTTTATCCAAGTAAGTTCTGCCGAGTAGTCTCTGAAGTTCTGAGCAACTGCCGTGCCAAGTTACCGAGACTTGAAGATGTTTTGTTTGACGAATCCGATGCACTTGAACCAGCTGATCCGGAACAACCGTTCCTAACTCAGAGGGCGCAGTTGCAGCCGCAGCACAGCCTGAGCAAAGACCTGAAAAGATCAAAGCAATAATCCAAAAGTTGCATACAAACACCGGTCATGCATCCGTTGAACAAATGCTCAGACTTGCCAAGCGTTGCCAATCGTCCCAAGAAGTTCAAGATGCCATCCGAAAGTTCCGTTGCCCGGTGTGCGAGGAGTTGAAAGTACCACCATCTCGAAGGCAAGCTGCAATGCCCCATGCCGATAAGCCTAATGACATAGTAGGTGTTGACTATGTTCAAGTTGAATTGAAGAAAGAGGATGAGCATGGAAAATTGGTGGAAATCAAAAGAAACGTCCTCACATGCGTTTGCTTAGGAACAGGTTTTGCCCAGCAGATTATTTGTCCGACTGGCCATTCAATGGCAGAAGCATTTCATAATGTTTGGTCGCGTCCATATGGTTTGCCAAACACCATCTACATGGACCCAGCCATGGCAAATATCAGCAAGCCTTTCCAAGCATACTTGGCACGAAACGATGTCAAACTTCTTTTGGCCGCAGCCGAGTCCCATTGGCAACTTGGTTTGGTTGAAGTGACAAATAGGATTCTCAGAAACATGGCGCAAAAAGTGTGGAGAACCACAAATAGAAGTGTAGAAGAAACAATTGAGATGTGTGCCACCACAAGAAACGAGCAGTTGAGACGTTGTGGATTTAGCCCCTCACAATGGTTTCTTGGTCAGGATTCCCGTCAAGTTGGTATGTTGAGAGACCTTGAACAACAAAACAACATAACCACTGCTTCACGATACCTCGCCGATCCTGATTTCCATGATAAAGTTCGATTGAGAGAACAAGCTGCAGTAGCATTTCATGAAGAACATGCACGTGACATCTGGCGCCGAGCTGTCGCCGGCAGAACAAGACCCATCCGGGGTCCATACCAAGTTGGTCAATTGGTTTATGTCTTCCGTCGCAGAGCCAGAGGTCTTTTGTCAACACGTCATGGAGTTTGGATAGGTCCGGGTAGAGTAGTGGGAACAGAAAGCGAAAGCGGGGGTCCAGTTCCTAGACTTGTTTGGGTAAGCCATAATGGTTACTTATACAGGTGCAGCCCAGAGGGACTTCGACCAGTGCCAGAGGACGAAGCTGAATTCCGCAGCCTTGCCCGTTCTTTGTCGGAAGGACGTCTGCATCCCGAGCCGGAGCAAGCTGAACAAAATGTTTCCTCCAAATCAGGTCAGTTTGAAGATCTTTCAGAAGAACACAAACCCATAGAAGAAGATCATGAACTTGAGGATGATTTGTGGGAAGAGCCGAATGTAGAAGACTCACAGCTTGAACAAGGTCCCAAAAAGATCAGGCGTAGGTTCTACAGGTCAGATGACTATTGGAGAAGAAGGGCAGAGGGCGCACCGCCACTAGGGCCACTACATGATGATGTAGACCTCCCCCAAGTAGTCCGCCTAAAATCCAGTAGGTCTTTAGAATAGAACCCGATGATGATGATAATGTAGAACCAGATAGAAAAAGGCAAGTTACGGTAACCGATGATGTTGAAAAATACTCATACGAGCCAACTTCGCCTGCCAAATCGCCAAGACCCAGCCTTGATGATGCAGAGATCGGTCAAGATGCGCAATCTGGTGTACAGTCAGAAGCTTTGCCTGAAACTCCTGAATCACAACCTCCGATCACTTCCGAAGATGAAACCGCAGTCAATGATCCAATGCCACCTGCAGAACCCGAACCTAGAGATGTGCAGCCTCATGAAGTTCCGGTGCCAATGGATGATGGTGATGAACTGATTGTAGAACATGAAGAAAATAATCCGGTTCCTGGTAAGCATGATGTCATGGAAGTATCTATAGAAGTCCGCCCAGAGGACATCACTGAACAACAGTTGTGCTTGTGGGAAGCGATTGAAGATTGCTTCGACGTGCAGCAGCCAGCGAAACAACGCCGGGTTGAGGTCAGTTTCCGGAAATTGAATGAGGAGGATAAGAAAAGGTTTGAGGTTGCAATGAAAAAGGAGTGGCAGTCATGGATAGATAACAAAGTAACCTCCATCTGTAAATCCCGGGGAATTCCCAGAGAACGGGTGATCAGGGCGCGATGGGTTTTAGTATGGAAAAAAATCATCAGACCCAGATGATAGGTCAAAAACCCCCAAAGCTAGACTAGTACTAGTGGGATGGCAAGATCCTGAACTAGGAAAAATAGCTACAGATAGTCCAACCCTCAAAAAGGAGTCCAAAAATCTGATTCTTTCAATTTGTGCCGCAAAGAAATGGCGAATTTGGGGAGCAGATATCAAAACCGCATTCCTGAGCGGAGACCCTTCTGAGAGACAGTTGTACTTCAGACCGCCCCCTGAAATAAAAAGATGGATGGACCTCACCGACGAGGACCTGTTTCGCTTGGAGAAAGCAGCCTACGGGCTAGCAGAAGCCTCACGGGCCTGGTTTCTTAGGTTGAGCCGAGAATTAGCCCAACAAGGTCTAAAGGTATCCCAATTGGACCGCTGTTTGTTTACCCTGAGAAATTCCAAAAACGAACTGGTTGGTGTCTGTGGTGTTCATGTTGACGATCTTCTAGGTGGAGGAACCCCAGAAATGGATGCTGTTCTTGAAAAACTGAGGAAGTGTCTTCCCTTTGGTGATTTTAGAACATATACAATCCGTTACACTGGAATAGAGATTCGTCAGAACCCCAATACATTTGCCATTGAGATCAATCAGGAAACATACATCGATTCCTTGGAGCCTGTCTCAACCAAGAGCCTTGGGTCTTCAGGAACCCCTGTGCGTGATCCTTCTTTGCTGCGAAGGTGTGCTGGACAGCTGGCATGGGCCGCAGGTTCAACACGTCCTGACAAAGCATTCTTAGCCTCTTATTTGCAAGGTATCCAGGATAAAGCCACTGTAAGCCATGTTGAACTTTACAACAAAGCACTGAGAGAGATGAAGGAAAGAAAAGTTGTAATGAAGTTTCCCTCAAATGTTCCCATAGAACAATGGCGAATAGTGTGTATATCCGATGCCGGCCATGCAAAGAGAGCCAATGGGGATTCGCAGGGTGGTTACCTCTTGGGACTCACCAATACCTTGATGAGAGATCGGAAAACCGCACCGATGTGGTTGGTGGATTGGGCAAGCAAAAAGTTGCAGCGTGTGGTCCGTTCCTCAACAGCCGCAGAAACACATGCTGGAAACAATGCCTTAGACGCCATAGAGTTCTTTCAAGGTCTTCTTGCAGAAACAGTGTATGGAATTGCACCCAGAGAATTCCGAAAACAAAGGCCGAAACACCCAGCCTTGCTTGTTGTGGATTCCAGAGGTTTCTATGATGCTTCCAGTAAACTGAGCAGTGCATCCACCAGTCAAGAGAAAAAGTTAGAACTAGAATATGTCATTGCCAGAGACTCCATGTTGCGTCAAAATATAGAAATATACTGGATAAACAATAAGTACATGGCCGCTGACATTCTCACAAAACTCAATAGCGACAGTAAACCTTTCTTTGACTTGATGGAGAGTGGAAAATATCAGATCAAAGTTTGTAAGGAGTCCGGGAGTAAAGAGAAAGCCAGCGACAAGCGAGGCGAACAGGTCAGTCAAGGTAAACAGCCGTGAGAAGCAACCTTTTGCATAACCATAAGTAAGCCTGACAAAGTCATATGCTGAAAGAGTTTTTTTCATGTACAGAACTGCATGCGTCTCAGTGTGAAGATACTGAGAGCCATCCAGAAATGCCGTTTTTCCGTTGCTTTATCACTTAGAGATTTGCCAGGTAGCTGAACCGAGTAGCCTGCTGAGTGTGTACAGTTTTTGATCCAAACGCCGTTAGCGTGATTTCTGAGAGCCATGTCCCAGATGCCTCGCAAGATCTCCAAGAAAGCCGCAGAGACGCCAAAGTTGAATGAGGTTGAGATTTCGATGACCGTTGGTTTGCTCACTCGGGCGATTGCCAACAACCAAGCTCGCCCCATCTTTGAGCGTACAGCTGCCGAAGATCCCCAGTCATGTCAGTGGCTGAAGAACTACATCCCAGGTTTTGATGTGCCTGGTGGTATGTCCGAAGCTGCAAAGCGTGTTCGGGATGAGATCGAGAGTTCCCATGGTGAAAGCCCACGTTCAACTGTGTGGAGTGTGGTTGGCCGTGGTGAGAATTCTTTGCCGAGTGGCTATGATGCTGTCACAACTCCTACGCCTACCGTGGTTGAGCCCAATGTGACCACCATCAGCCAAGTAATCAGGGATGTCCATACCCGTCAGAATGTCAAGATTTCTCTGCCAGTGGATTGTGTTGATGTGGATGATTGGTCGAAGACCGTGATCGTTATGAAGAAGTATGAGAATCAGGGATATCGCTATTCTATGTTGGTTGCCGAAGCAATGCACAACGCTGAAGCCAAAGGATATCTCCAATGGTTGGTGAAGACCTATGGCAAGGATGTTGACACACCTTGTGATACCCAGGCCACTGACTTTGCCAGATTCCTCCTTCGCATCAAATGGCTTGAGACTGATGGCAACAAGGGAACTGGACGCTTCCAACGCTCGCGCTAGTTGCATGAAAGCTGAGAATCAGCTGTGAATATAAGTTTGCAGCAGCAATAAGTCCACAAGAGGGCGTGTGAATTTCCCATGTCCCATTTCCATTTGCCAGGTACATTCTTGGATGTTGTGGCCTGCTGCCGCTCTTTGGGATCAATAGGCCTTGAGCCTTCACTGGCTTGGTCAAAACAGGAATTGCAGTGAAACCGCTTGGTTTAGGGTGTGTAGGAAGCCATAGCATCTTTCGTTGCTGTTTGTGCTACCTTGCATTCCGCAATATATATATGTATGTATGTATGTATGTATGTATGTCAGTATGTATGTCAGTATGTATGTCAATATGTATGTCAGTATGTATGTCAGTACGTATGTATGTATGTGTATATGTATATGTATATGTATATGTATATGTATATGTATATATATATATGTATCTGTATGTGTATATGTATATGTATGTATGTATGTATGTATGTATGTATATATATATATATGTATCTGTATGTGTATATGTATATATATGTATGTATGTATATATATATATATATGTATCTGTATGTGTATATGTATATATATGTATGTATGTATGTATGTATGTATATATATATATATGTATCAGTATGTGTATATGTATATGTATGTATATATATATGTATATATATATACGTATATACATATATGTGTATATACATATATGTGTATATTTATATATCCCACAGGAAAATGATTGTCCGAGGGAAGACAAGAGATGAAATGAGATGCGGATCCAGCCCCAATCTTGAACATGTCCCCCGCATCATGTGGTTTGGAAGGTGGTACCCTCCGGTGTCATCAAACGTAGGAAATCCCTGGAGTCAATGGATTTTATAGCCAGGAAAATCATCGAATTATATCAACAGTGGATCTTGCAGCAAGCCATGTCTGATCACCAAAGGGTATATAATATATCCATATATGTATTTATATATATAATATCCTTTCTCATGAAAACATTGAAAACATGCTTTGGAATGGAAACTTCCAGTTCATTCGAAGTACCCCTGCAGACCCATGTAACGATATCCTTGGTCCATCCCAAATCCAGACACCTTGCAATTCGCTTCTTGCAATGAGAAGCGGAAGTCGGGGCAGGTGATGCACACCTCCGAGTGAAGCCATGGGATTTACCCCAAGAAATGGATCAAAATGGGATGGTTCCCAGGATGGCCAGAGGAGAAAAATGCCATGATTTTTTTAGGTCATCAAACCAGATTCACCACTCTATGTATATTAATGCCAACATCGGATTAATCAACCGCCCCCCCCCCACAAGGTAGGTAGGTACCTTGCAAGGTCTTTCCTGAATCCTCCCTAAATAAACGGCCCCTGACATGGGGGTTGATTAATAAGGGGCAAACCCTGATTATTATTAATGGGGGACATGGGCTCATGGGGGGTAGGTACCCTTTGGGAGCTATCCAAACTGATGATTTTTATAAAGAATTTAATTAGAAATCGATCATTTCGGGAATAGTAGTTTTTTCAAATTTTCAATGATCAGCAGTGATGGGTTCTGGTGTTCATGTGGTTTCAACTTAAATATAGCATAAGGAAACCATAAGGAAACCATTTGAAACTTTTGGATTAAAAAAATGGATTTCAGCACTGGTGGTTGATTAATCATGTCCCAGCCAAACGGTTTATAAATCCTGGGGGACCACCTGTTTTTAAATTACAAAAAAAAATGGGCAGAGGGGGTTGATTTATACCGCGGGGATTATTAATCCTAACTTGACATTATATACATATCATATATGCATATATGTGTTTATATATATATATATGAGAGTGTGTGTGTGTGCATGCATGCCTGTGTATTTACATATATGCGTATATGTATATATGAATATGTCAATATGGGGAGCTTTGGAGGTCATATAATATAAGTGCTTGAATTTGGATCATGGATTCACAGACTTTGGGCCAGCGACCTCTGAATTCTGCTGTTTTAAAGTGTCCCATCAGTCGTTTATCTTGAAGTCCCTAAAAACTATCTGGTAATTTAACATAACTATGGAAAATCACCATTGTTAGTGGGAAAATCCACTATAAATCACCATTTTCCATTGCTATGTTAGTTTACCAGAGGGTATGGTGCTTTTCCCGGCATTTTGAGACAAATCCATAGATTTCCATCCAGGAACTGCTGCGATGAGCTTCACAGACTCTTCTCGCAGATAGGAAGCCTCCGGTTTGGACCAGGGGATGGAAAAAATGGCGTGGAACATCAACCCCACAAATAGAAAATATAGAATTTGGATGAATTTGGATGAATTTGGATGAATTTGGATGAATTTGGATGAATTTGGTGAAAAATCCCACAAAAATGTGGCTTGACGCTACTTTTCAGAATCTCAAATTTGGTGGTTACTATACCTACCTATACCTTAAATCGACGGAAATGGTGTCGATTTGAGTGGGAAAAAAATATATAGTGGATCAAAAAGGGAGACCTACATGGGTGATGTTCCATGATTTGCCTCTTTAAAATGGTGTTGTTCCATTTTGAAAAGTCAAAAAACTGCTACCCGGCGCACCTCATCCCGGTAGCAATGATGCTCCAAACTCTGGGCGACGTTCAAGGCCTCACATGGCGTCGTTTTTCCCTGATTCGTTGGAATCGTTTGCACAAAAAAAATGATTTATATAACCAATGAAAACTGGTGGTTTAATGGGTATATAATGGATATGTCTTATGGATTTTGATGGGATGAAATGTGATTGGATAGAAATTGTTTGATAGATTTTTCGGGAATTTCACCATCAAAAACAATTTTACATCGATGGGGCAATCAAATTCATAATGCCGTCTTTGGGGGTTTAACCAACAACAACGGAGTACTTCCAGAGTACTGGATACAGACAGGGCATTCACCATCTCTACTTGGGTTTCCCACTGAAAATATGGTGCAACATTATAAGACACTATTAATTCAATATTTCCGTGTCTATTTAATATCTGTCGAATTATTACCATTCTTACCGTCGGGATTACATAATAATTACGACCAACCAATTTATGCTATATAGTTTGGTTATAATAATGGTTGTAGTTGGTAGCTATCAGTACTACAAATGTACCATAAATATGTCTGAACGAAATCGAAACCAAACTATGCTGCCATTACTATCATTGCTATATAATCATAGTTTGGTTATGATGTACAATGAATATCTTGGTGAATCGTTTTGTGATTCACTCGCCTGAAACTGGTGGTGGCTATATTAGCATCCGAATCCTGGCCATCATTCCAGTGAGGGAATTTTTTGTGAGGGAGAACAGGGAGGTCGGTGTAATTTACCCAAATATATGGTTAGTGTATGATTACTATCTGTATGTGTATATATATATATGTATAGTATTCCATTGTGGTTGGAATTAATACATGAATAGTTTTATGATGTAGCATCAATTGTAGTACTGAAGACCTAACTATGCTACCATTACCATCATTACTAATCATAGTTTGGTTCTGTACCATAAATATTAAATGGTTAGTGTATGGTTTACTGTATATCTATACATATAGCATTCCATTGTGGTTTGCATTGATGTATCAATAGTATAGGCACACGATTAGGCCTAATATATATATATATACAATATATTATATATATATATACATATCATATTATATATGTAATATATACATATCATATCATATTATATATATAATATATATACATATCATATTATATATATAATATATACATATCATATTATATATATAATATACACATATCATATTATATAATATATATATACATATCATATTATATATAATATATATCATATTATATATATATATGTATATATATAGTGTGTCCTTTTTTCAGTTTTCTTCGATTATACTATCGTAATTCGTGTGTTAATCCATGGATTCCATCGCTGGCCACCGGCTCCGCAGGCTCCACATCGCACCTTGGCACCGGCGCGTAGACACATCTCCAGCTGCTCCTCACAGCCACGAAAATGACCATTTTACCGGTGGAAAATGCCATGGTTTATTATCTTACTATGGTTTTTACCATGGTTC